TAAAGAATGTAAAAATTACTGACGCTCTTCTAAGTGCTTCACATCTATTAATTTATGTAATCCTTAGGATAGGTACTACTATTGAACCCATTGTCAGATGAGGAAACTGAGGCACGGAGAGTTTATGTAACTTGCTCAAAACTTTGAGCTTATAAGTAGTCTTACCAGGATTTTTAACTCAGGCCATCGAGTTCTAATATTTATGCTATTAACTTGGAAAATCTACTTCAGAGAGAAAGAAATCGCTTGTTTTTGATCCTCTCCTTGTAAGTATGTAATTATTAGATGAGTTTATTATTCATGCCTGGTCAAAGTTCTCTTTCCTTACTTTATTTTACTTTCAATTTTGAACATGTCTGCCTAGCAGACAAGAAGCACACTGCTGAGTGGCTCCTGAGTAGGGGCCATCTTTCTTCCCTTCAGAAAGAGTTTTCTGAAACACTTTTAATAACCACCTAAAGCTTCCTGGGGGCTCCAAGGTTTCCAACGTCTGATATTCCCTCGGCATCTTGGAGACCCGCAGGCAGCCGCGAGAGGGTGACCTGGAGGAACGGCGGAGAGTGCATCTTCCCGGTGCCTGCGGCAGTGAGGGGGAGAAGTTCCAGGATGCCTTCGTCCCTGTAAGAAGAACTCAGAAGATGTGAGTGGGGCAAGAGGGTGAGTGAGGGAATCTGGGCAAGGACCCTGGGGGTTGACAGGGCAAGCTGAGTTACATCTGCTCCTTCATCATATAGGAACCTTGGGGAGAAAGTTTGCGGGGCCAGAGTAACATTTGTGCTAAAGCCATCTCTCTCAGTGGCTGCTTGTTCGCTGCCTTTCCTCTGTGTTCACATCCATTGGATAAAATGTTCTTGAGTTTAGAGATCTTGTGGTCAGCTTTATCACTGCAGAACACGGCTGTTGAGATGAAGACTGTTTTCTTGGCAAAGGGAAACGAAAGTTCTTTGTGAAAGTCAGTCTTCCCTGATGTTCCCTGAGACGCTACAGTTGTTTGAGAGCTTCAGGAGGTCATTTCTTAGAAGCACTGTGAACCACCTTAGCTGCAGTCTTTTCAACCTTGTGGGTCCCTTTTTTTTTTTTTTTTTTTGACTCTAGCTATTTTCAGGACCTCGCTCTGTGTCATACTGCTCTCTGCTCTGGGAAAGATGGTGTGTTCCTTGGATCTCTCTTTGCCGAGAGACTTCTTCTTTATCCTGCTTCTCCAGGTGTCCATGTGGGGCTCAGGTGAGAATATTTTATATTTCCTATATGTGGATTCTCTTGTTCTCTGAACAGAAGAATTAAACCACTTCATCATGTCTCATATCTACCTAGGTTAATTTCAAATATTTTATTTTGATATAATAATGTATTTGCCCATACACGATGGCAAGTAAATCATTATATGGTCATTTTAGAGAGGAGGACCAGATAGAATTACTTTACTGATGACTTCTAGTTCATTCAGATCTCAGCTTCTGGAGGAATGCATTTTCTGATGCGCAAGACCTGATTAAAAACTCTAGCTCCCCTCCTCCTTCACTGAATTCACCCCCATGGCAATTTAAAAATCATTTGTTTAATACTTGATCATTCTGTTGATTATAAGATCCACAAGGGTAGAAATCCGCCTTGTCTTGTTCACTGCCATCTTCAGCCTGAATTTGTGCTGCAAATTATTGCTGCGTGAGTGGGAGAGAGAATGTCCATGGGGCTCTACTGGGCCAGTACTGACGCTGTTCTCAAATCCAGGCAGGTTATTCTGATATTCTTTTCATTTGTGGCTCTATTCCACAGATTCATTTTCGGTGATTGGCCCCTCGGAGCCCATTGTGGCCATGCTGGGTGCAGACACGGTGCTGCCCTGTCGCGTGTTCCCAGCCATGAGCCTGGAGAACATGGAGCTCCGCTGGTTCCGCTCCCAGTTCTCAGAGGCTGTGTACGTGTATCAGGACGGGATGGAGCAGACAGGAGAACAGCTGGCAGATTTCAGAGGGAGAGCAGAGCTGGTGAAAGACTACATCACTGAGGGAAGAGTGGCTGTGAGAATCCACAG